ACATATCCTAGATTCACTTACATATAAAGCAATACAACATCCATGGCACATTACTCAAAAACAAATTGGGCACATACATCCTAGGTAACTAGGTTCACCCCTTTCCATTTAAGATATAAGATTCTCCTAAAATGTACTTTAAAAACAACAAAATTAATTTACCTTTGACACGTAAGTGTTTTTCTCCACTTCGGATCTTGTAAGCGCTTGAGGTGTCACACTCCCATATCACTAACAAACCAAAAATAAGCACATTACTAAGTATTTTCAAGTTTAATACTTTCATACCTATGGTGTTTGCAATATAATTATGTTTATGCCTATTTTATCAATATTTTAGGATTTCGCAGATTGACCCCCGCTCAGTGTTTTGGGCTTAAATCTGAATCTACAGCTCCAAATAGGGCATAGTCAGACTTTCTGAAAACTAGACTCGATTTCCTACAACTTTGTGATGATGGAAGCATGAGTTCATTTTGGCCATGGTACTGGGAAATAGAATCATAAAATGACACCTTATATCCCTACAAAACATAAAGCTATTCATATTACAAATCTTACTAGAACTACTCATTTATTATCAGAAGCTTGTGATTTGGTTTTTGATGCAGCAAGCAGAGGAAAACAATTCTTAATTTTTGGCACTAAAAATGAAGAAGCTGATTCAGTAGCATGGGTTGCAATAAGGGCTCGGTGTCATTTACTCTAATAAATGAAGGTTTTTTTGCCACATGTCACACTCACATTCAATTTGTCAAATGTCATTTTGTAGTTATATTGAAATAACTTTTTTCCACATATCATTTTATGGGTTTTTCTATTTAAATAAATTCTACATAATACTTTGATATAATAATTACAATAAATATAGTAATAAATGGATATTAATTTCATTAATGAACTTACCTTCGTATTTCAAAATTTCCAAATTAAAGTTCATTAATTAATTTTGTTTATTTATTTAAATTTAAAAGATAAAAAAATAATCAATTTTAATAATTCATTATTTTTCTTGTTTTCTTATAAATCTAAAGTTCTTAAATATTTATACATTTATATTTAATTTTTTTTTATTAACTTATTTAATACGTGAGTTTTATACCTAGTTATTTTAATAAAAAATGGCCCGGTGGTAGGTTAACGAATTGGTCAACTACACAAACAACTTCATAAGTTTAGAGACTTAAGAACCAAACAAGAAATAGCAGGGCTCGACCGTGTTTTGAAAAGAGATGTGGTTGTGATCATTTTCTCAAATTCGAACCAAAATAGCCTCTCTAGGCGTAAATACACATGTCAAAAATTATGTCCAAATTTTTAATTTGACAAACATCATCTTATCGTTCAAGGCTTAAAACAAAGACTTAAAGGCAAACTATTTTGCAAATAATTCAAACATAACAAATCAAATTTATCAATATTTTGTGTTATTTTTCATATTAACTTGATTTTCTTAATATCCCTTTACCTTAATACTAGTGGAATGTCTAAATTAATGTGCTTTTAATTTGCAGTGAACAAAATATGGAGATACTAACGTTTTGGTTTACTCATTCCACCTTGATATTGCCCTATTAATTCTTTCGCTTTTTATATTTTTTTCGATTATTTTTTTCTTCCGATATCAAATATATGTATTCATATATTTCGATTTCTTTGTCAAATATAAGTTAACCTTTTGACATTACTAATCATCTCTAAATATTATTAAAAGAGAAAGCTTATGACATCATCTTAAATAATTTGGACTCTTGATTATATTTCAATCGTGTTTTTCCACCCTTAGATCAAATTGCTAACATCATCTTCCCCATATGGAATGTATTTAATTCCAATAAACGTTTTCCAGTCGTCAAACAATAACTTACATCCGTTGAAATAGAATGTATTTAATTCTAATAAAAGTTTTTCATATTTTAAATCTTGAATTTACGGTTATGAAGATTTTAATATTGTCAATTTTAAAAGCATATTACTAACAAACTATTTCAATCAAGCCATTAATATCAGTCATTAATATAAATTTGTTTATATTAGTAAACCATTAATATAAAATCTCTTTTTATTAGGAAAACATTTATACCAAAAAATTATATTCAAATTATCACATACATATACGATTCATCCTTGAACTTGTGACTCACTTATTTTCAATCGTTTCTTTTTTTCAAATATTCTCCTACAACATAATTATTATTGCTTATAATTTTCATCATCATTCTCTGCTTCAAACATTCGCTCTTGTACAGTAGAAGGTATGTACATTCTTTCATTTTTTATATTTTTTTCGATTATTTTTTTCTTCCTATATCAAATATATGTATTCATATATTTTGATTTTCTTTATCACAAATTACATAAAATCAGTTAACTACTATTCTGAAACTTTTTAAATAAACAGGAAAGATATTACATACCTTTAACATAACAAAAATTAACTATCTTGTCAACTGACATTAATTACAAAAATGTTATTTTTATATATTATAGAAGATTATGATTTCTTTTTTTTTTAATTTTTATGCAATAAGAATCCAACTAATTTTGGCATGATTTTAAAATATCATTGAAAATATTATGTTTTTTGTATATCATATCATCCTACTTTTTTATCTTTATATAGTCACAATAAAATTTATAAATTTACCCAACAAATATACATAGTTCGAATTTTATAATATTATTATACCTTACAAAATACAACTCCCTCCGAAATAATTTTCGCCAGTAATTTCATCCATAATAAAACTAAATTCAAATTTGTATTTTCTTTATATAAATTTTTTTTATGATCTAGATTTTTTCCTCCAAAAGTATATCAAACACTTACGTCTTAGATAATGTTGCTCCATTATAATTATTACTTTCCAAAAATATATTCGTTTAATGAGGAATTTGATTTAATGAATGAAGTAAATGTTAATTAAAATGAGATATATATTCTATAATTATCACACGGGTTTATTAAAAAAAATTAATATCAAGGTGTAAACATTAAACATTTTTAAAGTGAAATTTCAGAATACATACAAATGATGATGTTTTACAATGAAATATAAAATTGAATAGACTGAAAAAAAAAAAACAATTAAAGCCGGCAATCTTGAAAATAACATAGTTATGAAAAATTATCAAGTAAGATAAAAATTATAAGATATTAGGAGATTTGTAAAAGGTACAATTAGTAAAAGTGTTACGGATATTAGAAAAAATAAGATTGTTAAGATTAGTAAAAGTACAATATATAAACTAAATTATCACAATAGTAATGAAATGTCATTATTTGAAATTTCATATAATTGAAAGATACACCAAAATGCAATAAATATATACTAAAATTATTCTTGCGCCAAAACTAATGCAAAGTTCTTGCGAACACCAAATAAATAAGAACAAACATAAAATCTAGCACTTATATTCATAATCAATTTAAAATAAACCAATTATGGAATGAATGTTTAACTAAAATGCTTATAATTATATGTTTAAAGTAGGTAACCTTATTATGGAATGAATGTTTAACTAAAATGCTTATAATTATATAACAATATCATAACTATATGAGATGAGGAAGGTCGTTCAACTATAAAACAAAAAATGTTGTCTACAAAGAGGTCCTTCAATGATTATATATATTTAGCGTTTTCAATGTATTTTCTACACATTACAATAATACTAATAACCATATTTTTTTATAATCATTATACAAAATATGTGGACGATTATATATTTTTTATGAGCTTTCCGCGTTTAACGCGGGCTATAATCTAGTTATACATAATAATAAATTATATATTACTTAATTATATATATTACTTGTTAAAAAAGATATGACATTGAAACTGTAAGTAGGATATTGAATCAACTCACATCGTAACTCACAATTGATTATCACACCATAAGTCAGAGTCATGCCTTAGCCCTCGTAGCAATCCCACATTGTGAGAGTCTCAACTATAGTCTCTCACGACTTACTAATACTAAATCAATCGGTAGTGTTTTAAGTTATTGTCTTATGAAATTATTACAAGTAATACTTTTTAAATTCTTTAAAAAAAAAAAATACATCATATGCTCAAACAAGTTATGTGAAATTTGAAACATGTAATTATGCTTTAGTAAATAAATAAATAAATAATAATAAAATACCAAATGTACGCACCAACCCACATAAGAAACAAAAAACAACACCGTTAAATTACCTACATTTGGTTTCGTGGTTGGAATAACCATATTTGTGGTTTGCGGTTTGATTCTAACCAATAAACCAAACCAAACTATGCCCCACTTGTATTTTCCAGACATATATAACTTTAGTGGCCTTTATTGCAATGTAAACAATTAGGCGGTTGCCTTTGCCCCCATAGTCCCTCGAAGATCATGTCCATTCATATGCAGAACAATCTTTTTGAAGGTAAATATAAGCGAAATAATCGGGTGAAACCTGTGATAATAACCAAAGTTATTGATATAAAAAACAGTTGTAATCAAAATGGTTTCATGAAATTATAAAATCAACTAAATTTATAAGAAAAATAAGAAAAATATAAAGATTATTGTAAAATTTTCCATTATTAATTGCAAAGATCTAAAAATAATCTGACAACACTAACTTTACGGTTACGCTTAAGGTTTTCTTCAAATAATTCAACAGGTTGGATCCGAGGATGTAAATATCATAAATTGCCCAGGACGAGTCAGGGAAAAATGATCCCTATCGATATTATAAGTATTTTATTTATAAATAAATGCATATTTAATATATAAGAAAAAAATTTGGAACCTGTGCAACCGCCCACGTTACCCACTTTCAACGCCCGCCATATAATTCAAGGAGTCTTGGATAGTTATACACTTGTACATGTCTATCTCAAGTATGTTTATATCTAATAGTACTAAAAATGAATTTGCATAATGCTTATAGAAAACAATTACAATGTACCAACCAACTAAGAAAGGAGCACGAAACCATATAAGTATATGAAGAAAAATTAAACAAAAATAACGGAATATATACATTATGATTGAAACTTGGTTATATAGTAATAAGCTAGAATTACAACCATAACACCTACGAACATTATTCGTATAATGGAATCCTTAAGTCTTAACAACTAATAATACGATTTTTTATAGGAGAACTACTTTTTATGGGATTTAAATTGCCAAAGTAGTATCTTCACACCCATCATGTACGCATGCCAACACGTCCCTATAATCTCTTGAAATCGTGAAATTATCATAAACCAAACCATCACTACTCTTCTTGTACTCAAATAGAAGTGAAGAGTGGTTAAACGCAGTAAGTTTTACAAATCCCCAATCCTGATCTTTATACAAACTCCAAAATGTATTTATCTCAGTAAAATCTGACAAATGGCTCCCTCCACTGCCAACAACAACATGAATTGTCCCATTCACTGTACCAGAATACCGCGATATTTCCGAGTTCACACATTGGTTCTATACAAAAAAAGTCAACAAGTCAACATGACACCGTCTATCTCTATATATCTAACATGGTATCAAAATCAATCAGTAAGTTAGTACCTGATATATAGGACACGTCCTTTCATAATTATGGACATGCCCATAAAACGCAATGTCTACTTTGTATTTCTGCCATAGCTTTTGCAAATTTGCACGACCCATGGGCTCTTCAAATGCACCCTCATCAGCTAACCAATTGTTAGAAGAATAACCAAGAACACGATTAGCAGCAAAGATGAGCCATGGTTGTTTTTGTCTATCGACTGATGCAAAACAATTTTCTATCCATGCATACTGTTCTGAACCCTCCCTCCAATCATGCTCTGAATCCGCTATACAAAAATGAAACATCCCATAATCCGTTGCATACCTGTAAACAACATACAATATGAACAAGACTTTTTTATAAATATATTATAGGTCTGAATAAATATTTTTACCAGAATTTGGCTCTGTTATGTGCGGGAACATAATACATGGTCTCAGCAGGTACACCACACTCCCCGCCTGAATCAGGAGTGTTGTAAAAAGATCCAGAATTAGGAAAATCTCGTTCATGGTTGCCACTGCAATATAAAAGCAAAGTAATTAATACATGATTTAGTTAGAAAATAGAACTATATATCATTAAAATTTTATTGATATTTAGAAACACGAACCTTGCAATCATATATGGCTTTACTGATGAAATGCGTTGGACTTGTTCTGTGAATTGATCCCATTGTGAAAGAAATCCATTCGCAAATGGTAAATTTCCTATATGAAACACTATATCATAGTTTTCAAGGTCACTGACCAATTGGTCTGTTGTAAGTAGGGATCCTGGCTGATAATTTCCGTACTCATTTGACCCATCACGTTCTGCCTAGAAACATGAATTTTAAAAATTAGTTATTGTTATATTTTAATATTTTATTATATGATTTTAACAAATTCTTACTACCTTTCCCATGTCTCCAAATATGATAACACGTTGAAGGGAATCTTGTCCTGGATATGGAGATGATTTAAATGTATACATATCACTATAAATGATTGATCCATCTACCATTATATGCCCCATTCTATATTCATACCTGGAAAAATAATGTTGTGATTTGTAAGATTTGTTATATCTACACCATAGGTGTAAAATAGTTATTTAATGTCATTCATTAAACAATTTTAGAAAAATAAAAAAATAATTTTTTTCCATAGTTTCTTTATTCTGAGAATTGTTATGTGAAAAATGAGATGCGTACATGGTGTTTGGCCATAAGTCCTGTAAGAAACTAGTATGGATAAAACCAGGATCCCGCCATCCAACTGTACGTGCAGGTGGGCCTACATTACATGGCATCGGTTAAAAAAATTGATTGTCAACTATTATTTTTACTAGGTGTAAAATCTGTGTATTACACGGATTGATTAAAAAAATTAAATTTTAAAATGTAAACATTAAGTATTTTCTTAAATAAAATTTTGAATAAGGAAAGAAAAAAACATATTAATTACAATTACTATCATATTTATTACATTTAATACTTTTCATATATAAATATATAAGTATTATGTGACTTTTTGATTTTAAAAATGGAAAAACCTAGAAATCAACATGTGAGTACAATTTATTTCAAAAATATCATAAAATAAAAAGTGTCAAAACTCATGAGAGATTCACATGTGGCAAAATTAATCTTCATTTATTATAGTTATACCACACATGCTGCCACGTGTAAAAGTCAACGTTCCTGCTAGAGAAAGCTTTTTGCTTTGACCCTTAAATCCCCATTCTACAATTGGAGTTGCTTCATCAATGTTATAGCCACTTGTCCATGTTACAGTCATCTGAAGAAAATTAGAAAAAAAAAGGTTAGAAACTACACAACCAATATAGCAAAATATATAAAGATTAGAATTTAAAAAGGTTTAGAGTTTGTAAATGTACACCTCATCCCAAGCTTTTCCATGGGCAAGACGAGGGTATAGAGGGGCCTTAGGGTTTGGAAATGATATAGGATCAGTAACAGCAACCAATTTCGGCTGTAATTCAGAAAACCCAATTAGTGATAAATTACATACATTGTAGAATTCCACAAAACACGACTGGAAACCAGAAAGAGAGACTAATTCACACACAGTTTCTAATCCGCCTGTAAATAATGCAAACGCGAAATCTTCACGTTGATTGATGATCCGAAAGGTGAGTGTAGCTTTTCCTGTTCGAACATAATCAGTAGTGGATTGATTTGCGAACATGTACTGTTACAAGTTAAAAAACATATGTTATATATTATCACAGAGTTTCTTAATCATTCAAAATAATTAATGTTGTTTTACCTTAATTGGAGCTGTGCATAAGGTTGGAGTCTCCGGCCAGCTACCAACTTCAGATGAACAATCGGAAGCACTACCATTTATTCAGTTTTTCAAATAAATCATTCATGGAGAAGATTAGGTATTATAGATATTAAGATATAAGATTACTTGAACTTCGCCGGAGAAAAAACTCCAACCCAATCGTCCTGAGATGGTTCAGGGTACTCGAGATCTATGTTAATCCATTGAGCATCCGCCACCTATCGTAATATTTAGAAATTGAAGTCATAGAATTTGAATAGTTAATCAAATTAACGGGAAGAAAACGAGTCTTGACCTTGATACCCAGTAGCAAAGAGTTAAGGTTAGAACGAATGGAAGCTGATTCATGGAGAGCGATAACAGTTTTGTGAATGGCGATTATGGCGAGTGGTTGCTTATTAATGGGAGAATGATGATGATGGTCAACACCACCGCTTATGAGACGGGAGTAAGAGGAAGCATGACAAACTTTATAAACAATAGCATTTGAAAACAACAACAAAAACACTATGGATACGTGAATCATTTTTGGCATTTTGTCTAACAGTTGTCATGCACACTTTTTGGAAGAGAAGATATTCTTGTGTATTTATAGCCTGAATCTCAAATGAAGAAGATTATAGAATGTGTGTATGGTAAATAATAGTAAAATTTTTATTGACAAAAATTTATATTTTATGTAATTAAACAAAAATATAGCTTAATGCATAAATAATTGTTATAAAAAAATTCTGTTTAGTACCAATCAACATTTTATGTTTTATATAGTTTATAAAACTATATATAAATGCCTAATTGTATTTAGTAGGAATCAACAATTTATGTTTCAAGTAATATTTCGAATCAATAAAAGATTGAGAATATTTTTAGAGGAAAAGGTTAAAATTAAGTGTTTTTATATACATCTTTTAATATTATTTTCATAGATGTTTTGTAAACTAATAAACTAAATTTTGATTTGACTATTTGTATTTCTTTTCCTTTTTTGTGTTTTTCTCATATATCTTCGTAGTTGTTGTTCTTATATATATATATATATATATAATATATATATATATATATATATATATATATATATATATATATATATATATATATATATATTAAAGATATGAAGTATAGGAATAGTAAATTTGACATTTTTTTAAATATATGATCCCTACACTTTGCTTCTTATTCTTTTCCTATTTTGGCATTTTTTGTCCTTACAATCAATATTTTTACACTTTTTTAGGAACCCTTTAATATTTAAAGTTTGGTCACAAAACTTTAACGGTTTGACAACTTTGATCCATTTTCTAAAAATTTGCTAATTCTACCCCTTTAATTCTTTAACCGTTTTGAAACTTTTGATCTTCGCAGTCAAAACTTTTACATTTTTTCATAAAAACATGAAAAAAACGGTCCGGGGCAAACTCCGGGCTTTTCATCCTTGCACTTTCTACGTCTGTTATATTTATCGATTCGAAAACAATATTGAAAGCTTCTGGCCCCCACGTAGCGGGGGTAACCTTTCTAGTTATTATTATTATTATTATTATTATTATTATTATTATTATTATTGTTGTTGTTGTTGTTGCTGTTGTTGTAGTTATTATTATTATTATTATTATTATTATTATTATTATTAAAGTAAATAAGTATAAATGATCTTTCTTATTTATCAAATTTATAAACTCACTTATTGTTAATTTTTTTTACGAACATTGTCTCTATTGTTTCTAAAACTTATATGATTGGTTTTTATCCATAAAAAAAATTCTTTATCTTTTTTATTTAGTTTTACATTTAGTTTTGTTTAAATATGATTTACAAAAAAAAAAAATTAAAAAGAAATTAAAAAACATCCCAACCCAATCCGATACATCCATCCCTACTCTTTTTTCCATGCTTTCTTTACACTTTATCTCTTCTTCGTCTTAATCATTAAAACTAAGGCATGTCCAGATGGTGGATGAGACCTAATATCACCATCCTTCACCCTCTCAAGAGGCAACCTCCTTCACCCTTTTCAGACATGGTCAACATCACCACCAACATGTCATTTAATACCACGGAGACCACCAGTATCTTCACTTCAGTTCATTTTTTGCATCAACAAAGTATACATCATTGTAGACCATTATCCGTCATAGCCATCCTCTACCTGCATCAGCATTAATTGTGGAGATTGAGGACTTTTTTTATGAAGATGATGTAAGGGTGAGGGCAAAGAAGTGTCGATCAACTAAGCTACCTTTGAAGGCTTCTAACAGTGAGCGTAAAGAACCATCGATAACCACAAGTGATGGATCAATAAATTATTTACCACTTAGGCGAATACTTGCGCATTGCACATAATACAATTATATTGTTGATTATATACATTGTTTTAGGAATTTTTTAATTAATTTTCTAATTACAGTTTAGGTTTTACATTAACATTATACCTTTTAACTTTCAACTATTTATAAAATAGTCTTTGAACTCATAGTAAACCTAATAAAGTATCAGTATGTTTTATTTAAAATTCATCAAGTACAACTAAGTAGAGCTTTTTATTTATGTTGATATTAATGAGAATTAGTAAAATAGGAATGGAGTTGTGTTTAGTCCATTAAAGAATAATATAACCATCAAATGTGTTAGACTAAATATTGTATCAAAAACATCAAAACCTTTTATTCAAAAATAAGTTATGTGTGTCTAATATTTTATATGTATTTTTTATATAAGTACTATGTGTATGGAGGTCTAAATTATTATATAAATTATGATTATTTAAGTGAATATTTGAAGGAATAATTAAAATTATATCTTTAACCATACCGATGTAATAAAATTTATTAATTACAATGAAGTTCCATTTTAATATTTCAACTTTTCAAATTTCAATTAAAGATTATCCAAAATTAAGTGACTGCAGCTAAAATGGTTTTTCATTCATTGTACTTAATTGATGTTTATGAGACTTAATGAAATATGATTAAAATATTTAAAATGTATTTAGTAAATTAAATTGAGTAAATAGCACAAAACACTTAGTTTATGCAGAAATTCGAATTTGACATAATGTTTTTTTTGTGTCAATTTTGACACCGTGTTATTGATTTTTTACTAAATGTAACCATATGACTAGTTGCCTCAGGTCAACCGATTTGAATTTTGCTGAGTGGGTAATTTGCTTATGTGGCATCCACCTAAGATCCTACATGACAGTTGAGCCTTTATAATTGATTCCTAATGGCCTCAACCCTTTACAACCCTAGATCAATCTTCTCTTTTCATCTCAGTTCTTCTTCACGAGGATTGTGAAATGGTGTCTTCGTCTTAATCAACTAGCCAACAAAGTCTTAACAAAAGTTGTAGATCATGTTTTTACCTACGCGTGGATATAAAGAACGTCGAAAACGGAGTTCGTATGCGAATGTTATGAATTTTTGAAGTTTGGGGCGCGAAACCCCAAAACTGTCAGAACTTACGAGTTGAATATTAGAAATTCATGAGGTGAACAGATGATGGATGTCTTCGATGGCAAGTGGCCATGACGAACGCAATTACATATCAAGCTCACGAGGTGAATATTAGAAACTTACGAGGTGAGCAAGTTCACGAGGTGAATATTAGAAACTCACGAGGTGAACTCATAAAATTCACCCTATAAATAGAAATCGAGGGTTAGCCGATTTTGGTTGCTCCTTCTCATTTCTCCCACTCCCGATACTCTCTCTAAGCCCTATTTTAATGCCCCGAAGCCCCGGTATCATTTCCGAGCCACGAAGCAAGTCCCGAAGCCCGTAGATCCTGAGAAGTGAAATTCCCGAGCCGAAGCTCTGCATGCGAGAAGCCGATTTTTGTGAAGATCTTCCAGATCTACCGAAGAATACTACTTTTACAAGCCGTAGTGCTGTCCGAGCATCGTCTAATCATGTGAGTATATAGTCCCTTTCATAAACACGATTTTAATACAAGTATTGTTTGAATGTATTAAGTATATGTTTGGTGTGAATGTATAGTTACTTTCTTCTAACACATAAATATAAAGTATTAGCTATGAAATATGTGATATGTGTTATATATTATTTGTCTATGTGAGATGGGCTTGGAATTGATGTTTTTATACGGGTGTTAAATGATTTAAACTGTGTTTGTATTTATATCTACAAAACTGTTGGGTAGAATATGGGTAGATAGAATAGTTGGTGACGATGTGACTTCATGCCTATTGAGTAAAACCTTGGTGACGATGCGACTTCGTGCCTATTGAGTAAGCCATGGTGACGATGTGAATTCGTGCCTATTTGATAAACCTTGGTGATGATGTGACTTTGTGCCTGTTGTGTTAACCCTGGTGACTATGAGATCTAGTGCCTATCGTATGAACCCTGGTGACTATGTGACGTAGTGCCTGTTGTATAAACCGTGGTAGCAAATGGACTTTGTGCCAGTTCCTTAGGAATGAATGAATGAAGGATAGTTGGTTCTTAGGGTAAGCCCTTGAGAAAATAAAGGAGATATGGGTATGGGTATTTGGGTTGATTCTTTGATAATTGAATATAATAAATTTATTATTGTGGGTTGAAAACCCTATATGCTCACCAGGATCCCAAGCTTGACCCACTCAGTTTTATTTGTATTACAGGTAATGGCACAAGAGTATAAATTGGTGGATTTGACGAGAGATTTTGGATAATAGATCAGTAGTTACAAATAACTGTTGTAAGGTTTGTATTGTACTGTTTATGCTTTTGGTCTGTATCGGAACATGACATCCTGAGATTTTGTTATCTAATGAAAATACGTTTCTTTAAAGAAATGCTTTGATGAATTCTTATCATATTTTGTTTTGGGAACAAATTCCACAACCGTTTTCTTTAATAGAATACTCTGATTTTTAAAACAAAGCATAAATAAATCAGTCTTTTCTGGCCGTGAAAATGGGGATGTCACATGTAGTGAAGTGTATATGTTTATGATAGTGAATTGGAAGTATGATGTCATATGATTCTAGTAGACCAAACTACCCTTTACCCAAATAACAAACTAGTAACAAAAAAAGGAAGGACCTAAATACCCTTACCTTATGAAACAATTGAGATTATAAAAGATAAAAATGATGACCATAAACACTATACCAACATTGCACATATTTTAACAAAAATGCTATGAAAAATACCAAAAAATAACCAAGTGAATTGGAAGTATGATGATAATAGACCAAACTACCCTTTACTTATGGGGATAAATCCCCACCGCAAACTAATGGACGATGATTACAAACCTTACCTCACCGATGTTGAACCCCCTTCTGATGGCTACTTGGATGTTCCTATCTCCCCAAACACTAAATACTTCACAGTATTTGAGCAATTTGACCATAGCCTACCGGATCACCAAAGACTGCCTATGGAATTCGAGAGACTCAATCGCTTTCATGCCAAACATGCCTCTTCCATAGAGAAAATTTGGTCTAATTATAGACCATCAACAGTCAAGAACTTCAAACCACGGAAATTCATGAAGACTGACTTCATTAAATACACCCTCACAAGAAGGAATCAGGACTATGTCCGCACCCAAGCTAACTTCCCATGTATGAACCCAGTAGAAGTCTTTCTGATAG